GCTTCAGGACCTCCTCAGTTTCAGTGAGCAGGGTTGTGTCATCTTCATAACGCAGGTTATTGACGATTCTTGCACCAATCCTGATGCCACATTTCTCCTCGTACAGCCCAGCGTCTCGGATGATCTGTTCTGCATACAGATTGAAAAGGTATGGAGACAAAATACATCCCTGAAGGACCCCTTAAAATTAGTTTTGGGAATCTGGGCCGGGCACAGAGGCGGAGCTTTCCTCATCTCCACACCTCATTCAGGTATCCCACTGAAAGACTGGGAGGACACCACTTGCCAGAGAATTAGATATTCAACATAGCTGCACAATTTACATGAAAGCAAATGTGATCTAAGCTCAAATCTATACTGAGTAGGGGGTAATGGATTGACTGGAGATTTGAGAAAAGAATAATGAAAGACTGAGAACAAAGAACTCTGTGAGGAAGGTATAAACCTGTACCAGTTGGAATACGTAAAGATATTTATATCCTATGTAAATTTCTATCCTATGGCATTGATCTTAATCAGATGGAAAAGAGATGATGTTTTGAGTAGTAAGTCAGCCTCTTTCTCAGACATGTGACTTGCTCAATGGGCCTGTAAGCTAAATATTTATGGCTGCAGAATGGAGGCTACTTACCGTCTTAGCTCCATGGACTACCACCCTTCATCTGTCTGGACTGACTGTACCATTACTGCTGAGTGTCTTCTTTGTCAAGAAGGAGGCCAACTCCAGTTCTGAAAAATGATACTCTTGCAGATTTACTAGCATCTAGTCCTTGGAGAAGAACATCATGCTTGGAAGCGTGGAGGAAAAGCGCAACAGAGGAAGACCCTGGATTAGATGCAGTGACACAGGAACTGGGGTAATGAGGCTAGGTGTGTGAGAGACAGTGAGTACGGCTCCAGTCTGGGCAAGGTTCAGAGCTACTGTCATAGCATCACCATGCATCACAGACAACTCGATGGTGCATAACAAAAACGATGACAAAATGTGTTAAATATTGATTTCATAGCATCCCTTTTTCCATAATTAAGAATACTTTCCAAGTATGGATTTTTCTTCTTTGGTAAAACTGCCTTTTATATATTTAAAAGCAAAAATAGCCTTGCTGTTGTTTATTGCTGTCAAATTGAGCACGACTTGTAGAGACCCTATGAACAAAAGGCCTGAAGGCCCTCTAATCCACATTTATAAAAGAGATGAATTGCACTGGGAAAGACATCTGTGAGGGACCTCTCAAGAGTACTGAAGAGCGATGACATCAGGCAGGAGACTAAGGTGCACCTGATCTGGGCTATAGTCTTTGCAATTAAGTGCTATGCATCAGAGAGTTGAACAGTGAATACGGATGATAGAAAGAGAATTGATGCCTTTGAGCTGTGGTGCTGGAGAAGAGTGTTGACTATACCGTGGACTGCTAGGAGAACAAACAGGTTTGTCCTGGAGAAGGTGAAGCCGGAATGCTCCTAAGAGTCAAGGATTCTGAAACTTTGTCTGACATACTTTGGGCATGTTGCAAGGAGGGACTGGTCCTTGGAGAGGGACATCATGTTTGGCAGAGTGGAGGGGCGGCAAAGGAGAGGAAGACCTTTGATGAAATGGATTGATTCTGTGACTGAAGTGGTGGGAATGAGTGCGTTTGAGATGGCTAGATTGGCACAGGGTAGAATGGCGTTTAGAGCTCTTGTACATAATAAGGTTGCTATGAGTAGCAAGCGACTAGATAGCACATAACATCAATATAGAGTTTCCAGAGGCATGTTGTTTTAGATTTGCAAAATTTGTTATTAATGCTATGATAATCAAAACACTCTATTTCTTGACTTAAAAACTCACTTTATAGAGAAGAAAACAGAGGCATGCATTCATAGGTGTGCCCTTCACTGATCTGGTCAGTTACTACACTCTCAGAAGCAACTAGCTTAATAATGGTGGAATGGTGGCTGAAAGCTCATGAAATTATTTAGGAGAGGTGTTCTGGATGATTAAGGTTGTATCTTGTAGGATGCTATGAATTCATTGGACCTGTAGCTCATCTGCATTCTGTAGTTAACCTGAACACATTAGTTCCAGTGGAGAAGAGAGTGATTCACACTAAGTGAACTTTCATATGTGAAGAACATTTGCTTCTTGTCCATTAAACTGTAGACTTGTGTAGGGAGCTCAGGTGGCCTCGTGGTAAGAAGTTGTGCTGAAATCCTGAAGGCATGTGATTTGAATCCACCAGCTGGTCTGTGGGAAAAGGATGGGCAATCTCCTTCCGTTCAATTGACTGCTTCAGAAAACCTGCTGGAGGGTCAGCTATGGGTCAGTTCCAACTCAATAGTACACAATAACACATAACCCAAGAAGTAATGTTTCCAATTAGTACACCCGTATTTCTTATTATTTCAAAGATTATATTGTTCTCTGGATCTTTGGACACCATCTGTAGGCAAATCAACATGAAGAGGAGGGGTTCCTATTTTGGACAGTGTGGTAGATGCATATTACCATGGGAAATTGAGTTACTGCCATATAAAATGGCCATGTATAAGATCCAGGGTATTTATTGAGATGTATTTTAGGACTCTTCTGACCAATGGTCTATGAGAAAGTGGTATAACAATAATTGAAGGTTTCTAAAAGCTCAGATCCCAAAGGAATGGAAGTTGAGTCTGGGCACTCATCTTTCAAAGTCTTGGCACAATGTTATAGAAACATTAATGGACCCTTAAAAAAGGTAGCTGTAATTACCAAGACATGAAATAAATTTCAAATTTTATATTGTTTCCTATTTTATTTTTTAAAGAACCTTTTCCCCTGCCCCATGTAACTCTTTGGAGAACAATTGTTGCAGCTTGCTCGACTCCACAGTCAACATTCTTGGCACCATCAGTCAGGAAACCAAAAGAAGAATAATTGCACTGGGAAAATCTGCTGTCATGGACCTCTCCAGAGTACTGAGAAGCAACTATGTTGGTGTAGAGACTAAGGTGCGTCTGATCTAGGTCATAGTCTTCACAATTACTTGCTATGCATCAGAGAGCTGGTTAATGATTAAGGATGACAGGAGAATTGATGCCTTTGAGTTGTGGTGCTGGAGAAGAATCTTGAACATACCATGGACCACCAACAAAACAAGTAAGTCTGTCCTGGAAAGGGTGAAACCAAGTTTCTCCGTGGAGCCTAGGATTTCAAAGCTCTATCTCACAGAATTTGGACACGTGGCCAGGAGAGACTAATGCTTGAGAAGGGTGGAGGAACAGCACAGGAGAGGAAGATCCTGGGTGAGATGGATTGATACAGTAACTGGGGCAATAGGGATAAGTGTGCTGAAGTCAGTGAGAAGACTGGCTCAGGACAGGGCAGGCTTCAGAGCTGTTGTACACAGGGTCATTACGGGTCGCAGGTGACTCAAGAGCACATAGCAACAACAATTTTTTTTACATTTACTGATACATTTTAAATATTATATGAACATGAGTTGTTATCACTACACAAAGATACAGCAGGCAATGAGATTTGTATGTATCATCAGTTAGAGACAAAAAAATTTAAACAATATGATAGAGACAAGTAGATGCTGAAGTTCAAAGAAATAGGATTGATATTTTAAAATGTACAAAATGCCTGGGATGTTTCAAATACCATGGTCTGTGTAAAAGAAGCAAAGGTTAAAGACAGTAGTTATATTTATTTGTTGAATTTTTTTTCTCTTTGGAAAAGCGACGTTGAAGTTCTAACACTCAGAACCTCAGAATATGACCATATTTGGAAATAGGATCATTGCAAATTCAATGGATTAAATTAATAAAAAGGCATATTGAACTCAGTGGATCCCAATTGTTTTATAATTCATGTTTTTATAAGATGAGAAAACAGTGCTAGAGAGATACATCCAGAGATAAGAAAGGATAGTTATGTAAAGACAGTTGTTGGCAATAGCTGCCATTGAGTCAACTATGATCCATAGCAAACCTATGAACCACAGATCTAAACTGTGTCCTATCCTATGCCATCTTCATCATCTTCTATGACACACTTGAGCCCATTGTTGTAGTCACTGTGTCAGTCCATGTAATTGAAGGTCTTCCTCTCTTTCACTGATCCTCTGTCTTTCCAAACATGATGCCCCTATCCAAAGAAACACCTTTTTTAGTAGCATGTCCCAAGTATAGTAGATGAAGCTTTATCTTTTTGGGCTCCAAGAAGTACTCTGGTTGCATCTTCTTCAAGTCACACATATTTGTTCTTTGGTTAGTTCATAGGATATTCAGTACTCTTCATCAACAATACAGCTCAAAGGCATAAATTCTTCTGTCATCCTTCTTTATTGTCCAGATCTCAGATGAAAAGTAAGCAATCAGAAAGATCATGACCTGAATATGGCACACCTTAATCCTACACTTACATCATTGCTCCTCAAGAATTTGAGAGATCCTTGACTGCACACTTTCCTATTGTAATCCATCTCCAGATATCCTGACTCCTGGTACTAAATGTGTTGATTGTGGATCCAAGAAAGATGAAGTCATTGATAGTTTTACTCTTGGATCCATCTATCATGAGGTTGCTTACCAGTCTAGTTGTGAGAAATTTTGTTTTATTTTCACTGAAATGCAATTCATATTGAAAGCTATATTCTTTGATCTTCTGCAGCAAGGGTTTCTAGCCTTACTCACTTTCAGCTAGCAATGTAGTGTCAGCTGCACAAGGTAGGTTATTAATGAATCTTCTTCCAATCCTGATGCCACATTCTTCTTCAGAGTTCAGCTCAGCTTTTCAAATAAGTTTGCTCGGCATACAGATTTAAAAAGGTATGGAGAAAGGTTTCAACTCAAACACACATCTTTCTTAATTTTAAACAATGTCATATTCCCTTGCTCTGTTTCCACAGCACTTCTTGGTCTATGTATAGGTTTCACATGAGCACAATTGAGTGTTCCGTGATTCCCATTTATCTCAATGTTAGCCATAACCTGTTATGATCCAATGCCTTTGTATAGTCAACAAAGCCCAAATAAGCATTCCTTTTATATTCTTTGCATTCAGCCAGGATCCATCTGACTTCAGCAATGGTAGCCCTGGTGCCATGGCCTCTTCTAAATCCAGCCTAAACTTCTGGCAGGTCTCAGTCAATTATACTGTTTTAGCCATTTTTTTTTCCATAATTCTGTGAAGACAGATAGAGATAAATGCTACCGCAAGTCAAAAAACACCTATTATCAACATGAAATAGTAGATGTAGCAAAGAAGAATTCTCTTTTGATCCCTCAAAAAGAAGTTAGCCCTGTCAATACCTTGATTTCAGACTTGGCAAAATTGTAAGATAATTGATTTCTCTTGGTTTAATTTATGCAATTTGTAGTACTTTGCTATGACAGCCCTGAAAAATTAATGTTGTTGTTGTTGTTTTTAGGTGCCATCGAGTTGCTTACAACTCATAGTGACACCATGTACAACAGCCCTGAACCCTGCTATATCTTGAGCCAACTTCATTGTCTCTGACACACCTATCTCCATTGCCTCAGTCACTGAGTCAGTCCATCTCATCCACTGTATCTCATGCAGAGTCTTCCTCTCTTGTGCTGTCCCTCCACCGTTCCAAGCATGATGTCCCTCTAGGTTTTAAAATTTATCAGCATATTAAAAAAATTATCAGCATATATTTTTCCTAACATTCTGATAATATCTATTTAATTTGGTCTGGTTATGTGGTGATGTCACGTCTATAATTTCTTAGTCAATTTATCTGTGTCTACTCTTTTTTCTTTTTTTCTTAAGAGGAAAAGTTTGCCAGTGGTTTGTAATTTTTATTGACCCTTTCAAAAAATCAGCTCCTGGTCTTGTCGATTGTGTCAATTGATTTTATCTTTTCCATTTAAATGATTTCAGCTCTTGTTCTTATAATTTACTTTCTTCTAGAGACTGAGATTAGATTGTTGTTCCTTTTCTGTTTGATGAAGGTGTTGAGTCAGATAATTAACTTTGCTTCTTACTTTCTTTTTTACATGTGTGCCTATTGCTGCTATGAACCGCCCCTGAGGACTACCTAAGCTATGTCCCTGAAGTTTTTCTATGCTGTATTTTCATTTTATGTTGTTTCAAGGAACTTTTAAATTTCATTCTATTTTTTCTATAACCAATCATGTTCTAGCAGGTTGTTATTTAGCTTCCACATGGGTCGTTTTGCAAGCATTACAGTCATGTGGTTAATTTCTAGTTTTATGGCATGGTGATCTGGCATTTTGTAGTATTTCAGTGCTTTTAACTTGTTGATGTTTCTTTTGTGTCCTAATATATGATCAATTCTGGAGAATATACTATGTGCACTTGAGAAACAACTTTCTCAGTAATTTCCCTGTCATTGTCATGTTTCAGAATTCCGATCATACATTTGTTGTTTCTTTTAAAGTCATCCCACATGATCCTAATGTTTTCTTCAATTTTTTTATGTCTTATCTCTAATTATTCTTCTAGTATGTTTCCATTGATGCTCTTGTCTTCCAGTTTGCTGACTCTCTGTTCTATCTCTTCTGTTCTAAATTCTTATCTCCCTAGCATATTTGACACTTCGGCCATGTCGGTCTCAGTTTTCTGGATTGCATTTTCATGCATTTCTGCTCTTTCCAGTACTGTGTTTTCTGTACCTTCTCTGCCTTGTGATGATTTTTTAAAGTTCTTATACC